CACATTTGAAAGTGTATTACAACTGATGTAATAGTGCACTCTTTTCCTTGACCGACTCTTTTTTCCCTAAGGAGGGTTTTGGGTCGGCAAGGTTTTTAACGAAGCACTTTATTAATAGACATTTTTGAAACATTGATATTTCATTTCCTATTTAACCGTGCATATATGCTTAGGTCACGCTCATGTAGGAAGGACCTCGAATAACACACGCCGATGCCGAGTCATCCTCGGCAGACCACTCAAACTAGTGCACTCGCGCCCCACAGGTTTTCCTCCCGAGTACCCTCCTCGGCTAAGGATGTACCTAGGTCGAGCACTACGACGTAAAACGTCACCGAGCAATCCTCGGCTGACCATTCAAACGTGCACTCGCGTCCCATAGGTTTTCCTCCCGAGTACCCTCCTCGGCTAAGGATATACCTAGGTCGAGCACTACGACACAAGACGTCTCCAAGCAATCCTAGGCCAACCATTCAAAGCTAGTGCACTCGCGCCCCACAGGTTTTCCTCCCGAGTACTCTCCTCGGCTAAGGATATACCTAGGCCGAGTACTACGACACAAGACGTCACCAAGCAATCCTCGGCCAACCATTCAAAGCTAGTGCACTCGCGCCCCACAGGTTTCCCTCCCGAGTACCCTCCTCGGCTAAGGATATACCTAGGCCGAGCACTACGACACAAGACGTCACCAAGCAATCCTCGGCCAACCATTCAAAGCTAGTGCACTCGCGCCCCACAGGTTTCCCTCCCGAGTACCCTCCTCGGTTAAGGATATACCTAGGCCAAGCACTACGACGTGCCGACACCGAGCAACCCTCGGCTGACCATACACAGGCATACTCGAGCCCGACAAGTTTCCCTCTCGAGTACCCTCCTCGGCTAAAGGTGTACCTAGGACGAGCGCCTTCGCGTGACCAAATACGCATATCAAATCGTATGATCCAACTCCAAGGCCGAGCACTCTCGCGCGATCCAATGTGCCTTGAATATTAAATCATGACTCGACTCCGAGGCCTAATGCGCTTAGGCCGAACACTCACACGCTCCAACACCGCGTATCAAATTGCGACCTACCCTGAGGCCGAACACGCTTAGGCCGAACACGCACAGGCCAAACACTCTCGCACGCTCCGCACTTCGCGTGTCAAATTGCTAAATCTAAGACGTTCAAACCGAGCACTCTCGTAATCACACACACCACGATTAAAATTTAATTTTCCCCCCCGACCAAGCATGCAAGTCGGTATATTTTTTACATAAACGGCAAAAATGAAAGCAATAGAAAAATTCCATTAAAGTATTGTCGATCAATCCGGCTACTTACACAAAAAATCCTAATTGTTCACTGGCACCAATGCCCAAGTTACAAAAGGCGCTGACGGCCCGGTTACAAAAGAAGCAAAAAGACAATCCTAGCCCAACTACCAGAGCTGACCCCCTATACTGCTGTCGAGCCCTCTGGATTCCCATCGCCGACCACATCAATGATTGGCTCCTCCCCCTCTTCGGTGACAGGCGGCACCGGGGCCTGGGTTGAAATGCCTCGGCGAGGGGCCTCTTTGTCTGGCTGAGCACCCTGGGGGAACTCGGCATAGTTGATGAACTTGCCACCATAGAAGTCCCGAATAACGTCAAATTCAAAATCAGCCGGGACCTTGCAGTAATAGAAGGCTTGTCGAACCGCATGCCGAAATCCGGTGTCGTGCTGCTCGAGGATCTTCTCGGTGGCTTCGGCTTCAAACTTGGCAGCGGCTTCCTTCAGTCGGGCAATCTCATTCACGGAGGTGGCGGCCTCGGCCTTCAATCTCTGAACGACCAACTTTAGGTCTTCGACCTCCCTTTTGTGGGCGTCGGCGGCCCTCTTCAACTCTTCAGCCGACTCGGTTACCTTGGCGTTTGCAGCTAACGCCTCCTTCACCGTGGTCGCGGCCTCCTTGAGTCGGCCATGGAGCCTCTCCTCTGAGACGGTGTGCCTCATCATAACATGTTTGGCGACGAGAGAAGTCCGAGCATCAAGCTCACAGAAGAGCTTATACTTGGCCTCAGTCGACATGCCCTCCAAGTATTGTAGCCCTCCCCCGGTAGTGAGGTCCAGGCTGACCAGGTTCTCGGTCTGCACATTCGGGGCGAGGAAGTTTGAACTAGCAACAACAGCAACCCGATTGCTCCAAAGATAGTTGCTTCGGGCGCTTGCTGGAAGAGCTCGGACGCTCTGGCTCTATGTTATGCTCGGCCGCACGCACCCGGGAAGTGCTTCCCTTCTTTTTCGCGTCGGCCAGAGGGATGATCACATTGGGGGGCTTATCCCGCTGCAACTTCAAGGCCGACCTTGCCGGTGGCACCTTCCCACTGGCTTTTGCATCTTTCGCCCTCTTGGCGAGCATAGCGGTCACATCTAAATTGCCTCCGGCCATTAAACCTCCAACAAAATAAATCTTAACATCAATTTAAAACTGATTAAACAACCGAAGCCTAAAACACATACCTAGCAAAGTCATCTCAAAGTGAGATGTTTCAAAAATGTCCAAGAGGCCTCGGACAGGCAAACCCTTCGGCAACTTGTCCAGGAGATCCACAATCTCTTTGTCCTCGGCAGGGAGTTTTGATGAGGGTATCGCCTCGAAACGCGTCGGCCGCCTCGACCAATAGAAAGGGAATAGAGGAGAGTCTTCTCGGTCTTAAAAACAGGCCCTCATTTTCGGCCCCCAGCGAACCTTGAAGAACCCACTTTTAAACCCCTTATAAGAGGAGGTAAAGGCCCGGAGAAACTGACGTTTCGGCACTCGGGCTAACGAGACCCATTTCACCGGCTTGCTCGGACGAAATATATAATAATAGAGAAAAGCTAGTGGTCGGGGTTTAAGGCCCAGGCACAAGCATAAATTCCGGAACGCTTGCATGGCCGCCCAGGCGTTCGGATGTAGCTTGGTCGGCGCCACGTTCAATGCCCGGAGAACTCCCATCTGAAAGTCATCAAACGGGAGCTTTATGCCAAGGTCCTTGAATCAACACATGTAGGCATAAAAGTAGTCGTCCTCATCGGGCTCCGATTCCATGAATACGAAATCAGTGTTCGGCCCCTCATCCTCGCACGCCTCGGCAAGTAGTGGAAACTCATCTTCACCACTCCCGAAACACTTCTCCAAAGACACGAAGGTGTCTAATAACCCTTGGTCCGAGAGAGACGAGAAGTATATGCCGACCTCCCCGTCCACCCACTCATATCCGGGCATCTCCCCGGTGCCGTAGTCAATCTTCGCCTTCGACCTAGTGCTCGGTCCAGCCACGCCTTTGCCCCGATTATCGTCGTGTACCTCCAATTCATCCCCACTGTCTTCGGCATGAACGGGTTGTTGGTCGGCACGGCCTGAACCTCTGGCATCCACCTCGGTAGCTCGAGCCAAAGCCACGGCCAAAGTAACCGGGGGCGATACTTCGACCACCTCATCCCCACTATCCTCCTCCTCGGCACGATCAGAGGGAAACACCACTTCACACTACAGCGGAGGCAACCTTGATATCTCACTCGAACCCGACCCCTCTCCATCAGACGCGGCACCCAACACCGCCGAGGACGTCCAGCTCCTTGCCGAGGAATAGTCCCTATCCATTTATTACTAGGAAATAAAAAATACAAATTTGTACCTTTGATCGATAAGCTCGGACAGACACTTGAACTCAGAGACCTCGGAGAATTTACAGCAAGTAAATTCTCAAACATCCCCCCTATTTATAGGCAAGGTAAACGAGGGAGGTGAAAAGATGCCCGGAAGCCGCAACCGTTCGATCTGAATCATCAAACGGTCCAGATTTAGTAACCGATAGACCTGTAACCGCTAGGGCCTATGTGGCAGACCCCTCCAGCCGAGGTCTCGGCACAGACTCTGCCTCGTGAGATCACAAGCCTCATCCTGCTGAGGTCTCGGCATAGACCCGTAACCGCTAGGGCCAACGTGACAGACCACACCCACCGAGTTCTCAGCTATGGCTTTCGACGCTTGAGATCTCGGCACAGACTCTGTCTAGTGAGATCACAGGCCTCATT